AGTAAATGAATGTAAGTCGTCCCTCTTCCCCTGCATTCCAAGGCGTGACATGATTTGCTAAGAATGGATCGAATTGGCTAACGTTCTATGTTCCTAGGAAATTCCCATGTTTTCCAAACCAAAAAAACCCTTTTCCCCACGGAAAGCAATTTTGAGCTAAAAAATTTTACAACAGCAAAACTTTTCTAGAACTTTTCTCCAATAAGTGCGCTCTTTTTCTTTTTGATTTTCCAAATGAGAATCCAATAAGCCTTTTTTTGTGCCAAAATACAGGGTAAAATGAGCCCCTGTGAGTGGTGTGTTTTCATTTCCCTCGAAACGTTTGGGAAAATTTTCCGTCATTAAACCCCCTGTGTGGGTATTTTTTTGGTAAAAAATTTGTTGCTGCGAACATAATTTTTCCCTGAGCTTTCAGAGTATACACCAGATTTTTCACGTTTTGAATTTCAAGCTTCCTAAAAAACAAGATGACTTGAAACAACACGCTTTTCATCAAAAATCCTTGTGATTTCCTAAAGTCAATGTTCAGGTTTGACTGAAGTTTTTCAATAAAAAGCATTACGTAGAGAATCGGGGTTCTTTTGGCTGGGGGGATTTTTTAAAGAAAAAACCCTGTGGATAAAATGTCGTTGGGGCATTGAGAGGAGAACAAAAGAAGTAGAGCTGCTGAGAAAAAAGGAGGGAGGGCTTCTGATGATTGAGTATTGCGATTCATCGTACTGGAAACATCAGAAATTTTTTCGGGGGCATGTTTGTGATTTTCAGAGTTTACATCTTTCTTTTTCTGTTCTTCTTTTGAATTTTTTCTTTTTTTCTGTGACCCCTGTAAGAACGTCCAACACAGTTCAGAGATCCCAAAATGGGATGTTACTGTCTGAAATATGAAAAATGCAAATTTTTCATTATCAATATTATAATTTTTAAATTATTAATTTTTTTTTCTAAAATTTTGGGGGTTTTGGGGGCCCCAGGTCCCCCCTTTCCTGGTGTGCATCTAAAATTCAAAACGTCCCAGAAAGGAAATAAACTTTTACCATAGATTAGGTTAGGTTTGGGGGTACGAATTTTAACTAATTCTCCCCCTTGATCTCCAATTTTCTTAAACGAAAACATAGAGTCCCGAACAATGCAGTGGTATTTATATTACATTTCATAAATAAACTAATATTTGTTTTGATGATTTATGGCTCCCCTAGTAAGGGGCTGGAATTAAAGAAAGGGGTAATTTTTAGTTTCACCCAACAAAAGTTTTTGTTGGTTAGTGGTTTTGGGGAATATGTGTAATTAATTTATGTTTAATCCTTCCGTCGCAACTTGAAAACTAAGCTTTGCGCGGAAGGATGTTTCAAAATTTAATCAAATTTAGATTGTTATGAAATATAAAATTAAAGACGGACAAAATGCTTTTAAAACCTACAAACGGAATAGTTTGCGTTTTTAGGTTTTTCTTTTAGTATTTTTTCCAAAATGGTTTTAATGGGGCCATGGTTTTATGGGCAAGTAAAACCCATCGGTAATCCCTTAATTTAGAGGCAAAAAAAACATTAATCCATCACTCAAGTATTTCAAAAACATTCAGTTTAAACGTCACAGTACAAGTCTGATAACGTGTAAATTTCTAAGAAAAATTTGGGGGAATTTTCCCATACTCACCCATTAGTGGAAAACCAGTTTTGATGTAAACAAAAGGGGTGTTGAGTGTTTCCTCTATGGTTAGGTTTATTTATTTTTTTTATTTTATTTCATTATTATTTTTTTTTAATTTTTAAAATCAATTTTATCTCCCCAAAAACCCTTTAATTTTTTGGTAGGGGCCCCCTTTTCACTTGCACCATGTGGGGCATCTTGGATAAGCCCCTGAAAACCCCTTTGGGCCTGGGGCCTAGGCAAAAAGCCGTTTTCCTATGCGGTAAACCGGCCTGGGCACGGGGGTGTCCCACAGTTATAAAAACAACAGAAAAGCCCCCCCCTCCACAAAGCGGGCAGTAAAGCAACAGCAAAGAATACAGACCCAAAAGCATAAAAATCCCCCTATCATTAAAAAATTTGAAAGGGTCCCAAGAAGCAAGACCCCCACCCATCTAGAAACCCCCAATTGCAAAACCCGGGAACATGGGGTTTTGACAGGTCGTTCCTGCGTCCAAAAATTTGGATACTAGACAAGGGGCCTAGATGCAATAGAAAACAAAAAAAATGAGAGTAAATTACGGCTTTGCAAAAGCCCTTTAAAAAAGTGTGACCATGGGATAATAGCGCCCCAAAAGCTGTAAGGAATAAAAGGGGAAAATTTGGGGATGGATCTTAATTTCCCCACAAACAGAACACAAAGAGTAGTATCAAAGAGTAAAGTCGAGGAGTCGGTGAAAAAAAACTGTTCCACAAGGACGTACTCGCTCCCATCTTGTTCCCATCTCATATCCCTAGCAAGGATGTAGCCACGAGTGTTTCCCTTTTCGATGACACCCGAATCGAGACAGTGTCTTCCATTGCAGAACTTAAGGCTCCAGGGGACATCAAACCCCAAACTTTCAGTGGGTGAGAAAAAAATATGAAGTTTAACGATGAGAAATTCAATTTTACTCAGATATGGTAAAAATGGGGGGAAAATTAAAACTTATAGAGTACAAAACAAATTTGGCCCAAAATTTGAGCGAAACACCACTCAAAAACTGGGAGTGATTATGTCGGAGGCTCACCTTTAAAGGGCATAACTTTTATCAATCGCATTGCTAGAAAAAGGACAGGATGGATAATGGAACTTCAAAACTAGGGGGGCCCAAACCCTTTTTGCCTTTAGGTCACTTTTTCTATTAGGCGGAATATTGCTGCACCTAACGCACCCTTTTAAGGCAGGTGAAATTGCCGACCCAGAAAATGTACAGAGAACTTTCACGGCGGGCTAAAGGAGATAAAACACCCCAATTACTGGGGGCGCTTGAGGTCCCAAAACTGATTCCCGGGAAGCAGGAGGGAGAGATAATGTTATATACCCCGGAAAACCTAGAGGGACTTTACGAACTTTTCACACGAAAATCCTCATACGAAAGCAAAAGATTGGCAGACGGCACATCCCCCAAAGAAAAAACAGGGGTGTCATAGCACTTAAAAGACCATAAATATAATGCATGGGCCCAAAATGTTCAATCCCCCCCACACATAAGGGGATTACCAACAGACCCCCGGCAGTCTTCAAACTGGCATGGAAAAGCACTAAAGCAGTCTGATCGCCGGGGGTGTGGGTGTACGTTGGTTTGGTGAGAGCAGCAAAGCCGGTTGATAGGCTTGATCACCCCGGAGGCCTGGTCCGACCCGGGCGGGGGGCGTTGACCCCGGACTCTCTCCCGGTAAAATGAGGTTTATTATAAAACTAACAAATTTTATTACATTTTAAGTCCAAATTGAGGTGATGGGTGCCCTTTTTGATTTTATTAAAAAAAACCCTGCTACTCCCTCTCACACATTAAAATTTTATTTTAAGGTAAGTAATAAATGTACCTGTGTGATTTTTACCCTTTTTTTGTGTTTTTTTTAAATTTGGTAGTTAGAGCTTAAACCCTTTTATTAAATTAAAAAATTTTTTAGTGATGAGTGATGGTGAAAAAACAAAAAATTTAATGGATTCTGTAAAAGCAGAACTTCACAAAAAATTATACGTAGCTGTTTGGGTAATTTTTCCTTGCGAATGTACGTCATTGGCTCCTTTAATGTTACATTCTCTTAAAACAAACCCAATGGGGTTACGTTTCAAACTCTTCAGGTATTCATGCTGTAATACCTCATCCTCAGTGATTGGCTGTTCTGCTGGATGTAAACAAAGTTTCTACCAATGAAATGTGAGCTGTGGCCCGGTGGCCTGGGGTGGCCCAGTGGCCTGGTGGCTAAAGCTCCCGCTTCACACACGGAGGGCCCGGGTTCGATTCCTGGCAGGTGGAAACATTTCGACACGTTTCCTTACACCTGTTGTCCTGTTCACCTAGCAGTAAATAGGTACCTGGGTGTTAGTCGACTGGTGTGGGTCGCATCCTGGGGGACAAGATTGAGGACCCCAATGGAAATAAGTTAGACAGTCCTCGATGACGCACTGACTTTCTTGGGTTATCCTGGGTGGCTAACCCTCCGGGGTTAAAAATCCGAACGAAATCTTATCTTATCTTATCTGTGGAATGACGTCACATGATAGTTTATTATTATAATCAAGTGGGAAGCACTAAACCCGTAGGATTATGCAGCGCCTGTGGAGGGGATGTGGAAGGTATTCAGGCTTAATTCAGGGAACTGGAGCACAGATCCAATTCCCTAGATCAAGAGCCTCTCACCAGCATTAAGGAACCTTCCTTGAGGGGTAGGATTATACAGCACCTTTGGGGGAGGGGGGAGGGATGTGGAAGGTATTCAGGCTGAATTTGGGGAGCTGGACCACAGATCAAAAAATCATTCTTGAGGGGTCAAGAGTGTATTACATTCAAAGGGAAGCACTAAACTAGTAGGGATCGCAGCACCTGGAGGATTAAAATTATTATTACAATCATATTATTATTATAATCATAAGGGTCACAGCACTGCTGGAGAAATGGGAAAGATTCAGCTTCAATCTAAAAAAAGGGAGAGCAACTCTAATTCCTTGAATCAAGGTTTATTTGAATCATGAGGCAGAACTAAATCTAGAGGTCATACATTACCTTGGGAATGAGAGATACAGTGGTACCTCAGGATACGAACAGTACAAAACGCGAACAATTATATAAGTGTATTTATGTAAGTGCTTATGTAAGTATATTTGGGGGTCTGAAACGGATTAATCTAATTTACATTATTCCTTACAGGAACAAATTCGTTCAGTATCAGCATTCGAACAGCCAAGGGGAGGATAGCTCCTGTTCCTTGGATTAAAAGCTGTCTCTTTAATAATGTCAATACCAGGCTTTCAGGAAGTTTGGAGTTTTAAACTATTTTTTATTTATTTCCTGCATCTTGTGTAAAGAAAAGGAATAAAAGAAAAATCCAAGAAATTAACTTTGTTGTATATCAAAACTAAGAGCTAAACCCAAAATTTAAAAGACGCAAATCAGGCTATTTGTCTTACCACACGTATATAAACTATATACATTTGCCAAGAACTCCTGGATATCATTTTATATCAGCAGAAGATACTATTTGATTTATTAACCCACAGGATAACTCAATATGGTTAATCAGAGTGGCCTCCTTAAATTTAGAATTGCTAGTCCACAGATATTACAACTGGGTCACAGAACTGTTAAAAACTCTAGCTACGAGAGGCTTCTACTTACTAAATTCATAGTTATTTTTTTTTTTAACACATCAGCCATTTTCCACCAAGGCAGGGTGACCCAAAAAGAAATGCTTTTATCATCACTTGCTCCATACTATCTTGCCAGAGGAGTGCCAATACTAGTTAAAAAACTGCAATATATCTCCACCTCTCCTTCAGAGTGTAGCCAATGTAGCATTATCATATTTAGGAGGAAGCACTATGCCAGGAGGGGTCGTAGGGGTCATACACTGCCTGGGAATGGGAATTAATAAAGTTCAATCCAAAGAAGGGAAAGCAAAGTCCAATTTCTTATATTAGGAACCCCATGCTAGCCCTTGTGGGGCTAGTACAGAGACAGCATGAGTTTACATTCTCATTTGGATTTGATTATTCCCACAAAGTATTTGGGAGAGAAATTGCAGAAGTCACATTTTATGCTTTGTGATAATATTTTTCCCATAATAATACGTACATAATTTGAGGAATCGATTGTTAATATGGGCCTTCCTAGGATGTGTCACCAGTGTGAATTATGACATGTATAAGAATGTTGTCATGCCTGATTAATTTTCAGAGGTAGTCTCTGCATGTAATGGGGTGCCAGACAGTACCTGAGGTATTGTCTAGCACCCCATTCCATACTGTAAGCTATGGGAGATGGAAGAATGCAGATTGGCACTGAAAATAAATCATGCTTATGATAATCTGGTTATATTTAAGTAGGACTGAGCTAAAGTGTGCAGGTTTCTCCTGGAGGACAAACATAAAAGTTGAAGGGAAAACTCTTGTACATGACATATAGAAAGTGGGACAATCAGTAAGATATATTACAGTGAATAAAAGAAAAATTCTTTTGTCACAGGAAGTTGTTATTGCAGCAAAGCAGAAGTAACATATGTAATTATTTTACTGTTAGATTTCAAGCCTGTCTACAACATGAGGGTCACTGATGCACTTGTGCACTACCAGTCGAGAATGCTTCACTGCCTGATGAAGGGATTAATTGGTGTATATACAAAAAGATATAACTGATCTGTGTACTTACACAAAGATATGCAGCATACCTGTCAATGTGTACCCCCATCACTACATGAACACTGTTACAGCTGTATATATTATTTTAACTTTACTATTTTAGTCACATGAATAAAGTACAGGATAAATTTTTTTTATAGATTTATTAAATCTCTTATAAATTTAAACTTTTATATACAGTGGACCCCCGGTATTCGATGGCATCGGTATTCGATAAATCCGGTATTCGATGCATTATATCGCAAAAAAATTTCCTCAGTATTCGATCGAAAACCCGGTATTCGATACGATTCGTACGAGACCTGTCCACGTGTGGCCTGAACTGCCCCATGTGTGCCAGTGTTTACAAGCCAGCCAGTATGCGCGCATCTAAGGATACATTCGGTACATTCCATATTATCCATATTATCACTGTGTTTGGTGCTTGTTTCTGCAAAGTAAGTCACCAAGGGCCCCAAGAAAGCTTCTAGTGCCAACCCTGTGGTAAAAAGGATGAGAATTAGTATGGAAATTAAGAAAGATTTTGAAGGGTTTGGGGCTAACCCTGAGAAGCCTATGCCAGTTGTGGAATCCATTGTGCCTACTTCAAAAATTAAGGAAATGTGTGCACAGTGGGTTGAAGTGCAAACCTTTATGGATGAAAATCACCCTAACACAGCTATTGCAAGCCGTGCTGGTGACTATTACAGTGACAATGTTGTGGCCCATTTTAGACAAATCGTAAAGGAATGGGAGGTACAGAGCTCTATGGACAGATTTGTTGTGCGACAGAGGTCCAGTGACTCTCAAGCTGGTCCTAGTGGCATCAAAAGAAGAAGGGAAGTAACCCCAGAAAAGGACTTGCTACCTCAAGTCCTAATGGAAGGGGATTCCCCTTCTAAACACTAACACCTCTCCCCTCCTCCCATCCCATCAATCATCACCAGATCTTCATTAAAGGTAAGTGTCAATTATTTTATTTTTATTGTAATTATTCTATTGCATTAAACTTAATATTTCGTGTAGTAAAATTTTTTTTTTCATACTTTTGGGTGTCTTGCACGGATTAATTTGATTTTCATTATTTCTTATGAGGAAAATTGATTCGGTTTTCGATATTATCGGTATTCGATGAGCTCTCAGGAATGGATTAATATCGAATACCGGGGGTCCACTGTACTGTGTTATATAATTTATTATTGCTCAATTGAGTATATGTAAAATTTTAAAACTTCAATAAACATGTGCACCCAATATACTAAAAATTAAATCACACACATGCATCAACAGAACTAATGGACCTCATATATTTAGCATCACTGTGTGCGGTGTTCCTCTCACCGTATGAGAATGTTTGCCACATCACTCTCCACTTTTAAAGATCAAACTAAAAAAAAATATGCCTTGGTATAAATATCCAAATAATATTATTTAACAAGCCTGAAGAGGTAATAAAATAGGCTAAAACTGGAGCAAAGCCTCAGTGGTAGGCTAAAATATACAGTGCTCTTATTGCATGTCTCCATGGGCTGATTGGCGATAACCAATTTCCATTAGAATTTTCGTAGTTATTTTTAATTAATGGATAATATCTACAATTTGAAATGTCTTTGGTTGACTTGACAAGTGGATAAAGACACATAAAAGAGCACAGGCCTGTATTGTAATGGTTCACTAGAGATAAGCATTATCAAGTTAAACAGAGACCTTGTAAACTACTTATACAGACCATTCAGTCAGATGAGTGAAGTGAGGATCTGGATTATGTGACTTGCCCTGCTGCTGCTGTCACCTGGGTGAGATCACATGCTGGCAGCTGATGTAGGAGAAGCTGAGTGAGATTTTATGAGTGTGAATGTGCCTTGGTTTTCCTCTATAATATTTTAAGTCTATAATACTCTAATCTTGAGCCTGTCATCATCAAGTGGTATGAGCTAGGTTGTCCCAAACCAAAAGATGTGTGGACTCCTCTGTGTGTGTCACGCATGCATTGGTATGGTGTGTTCTGTGTCTATATTTATGTTCTAATTGTGTCTTGAGATCATCAAATATTTTCCCTTATGAAGAATTTACTGCATCTAGCACAAGGGATGGCAGATTCTGGATGTATTACAGATGCAGTGTCTAGTGGTGTCCTTAATGATTTTTGATGAAACTACAGCCACTTCCATTGTAGTTACAACTACAATGGCAATACTACCAGCAGGAAAATCTACACATGTTGACTTCAGGGAGAAATAAACTTCCCCAATTATTATGGACTGTGGGTGAAAGGTACATCCTATCCTGGAAAACCCCTAAAAAAGAAATCTAAATTCAACAGCCATGTTGCAACCATCCTCCATTAAGTTAAAATTAACATAGCTGTGGTTTCATCAAAAAGCTTTAAGGACATCACTAGGCCCTGTATTTGCAGTGCATCTACAATACAGTTGAAGGCTGCACCATTCTCTGTCCCAGATACCATAAATTCTATTCTACATATGGGGTAAACAGTCAGTAATCTCAAGACACTACTCCTACAACATAAATATGCATGTAGAACCCATAGTACCATGTTTGCAATGTAGACACACAACCACACACTCATACTACATGAAGATAACAGGCTCAGGATAAAGTTTATGGAGGCTGCTTTCATTGACTTCAAGTACTATAGAGCAAAACCTCTTTACCAAATTCTCCTCTCACCTGGCAGCATGTGACCTCATCCATGCAGCAGCATAAGTCACATAACCCAGGTCCTCTCCTCATTCTTCATCTGACCAGTTTAGAGTTACAAAGAACTGACATCGAAGCACTATGGAACCTTGATTAATTACCAATACATGTAATAATGTTTTTCTGACACATAAGCTTTATCAAGCTAATAAAGAATACAGAAACAAAGCATATACTGTATATGCTAAAAGCAGTAAGGTGAAGATAATTAGAACAAAGGAAGGGGGTAAGGCCATTACATCAGGGCTCTGCAATTTTATTTTTGGGGTAACAGGTAATGTTCTATAGGTTTAGTAACTAAAAGCTGCATTGGTCTTGGTTTATGGAAATAGTGTCAGAGGTGGTAATCATTACAGATAAAAAGTGCCTAGGATTCATCCTGATTGCTGCCTCTAACACTATTTCCCAAACCAGGCCAACTTTCAAAAAGCTATACGTCTGGCACATTACTTACTCCACCAGAACTGGAATTGCACAGACCCGACCCCATCCCTATCATTTGTTCACATCTCCACCTCACTGCTTTTTTTGTATATAACACCGCTTCCATGCCTTGTGCATTCACCTGACCAGACACTTCATACAAGGAATAGCTTACAAATTTTCAGTTTAACTTAATAAAATTGCCCGTAACGGATACATTATTATAATGCTGACTTATACTGTTATATGTGCCTTTATTCCCTCAAGAATTTTAAACAAAAATTAGAGATAAAATTATTTTGGAATAAAGTGCAAGGCACAAATGCTTCTTTTTACATTTTGAATAGATAAGACTGGTTCACAGCTTTTATTTACCTATGTCCTATATACTTCTTTATTATTTCTCACTACAAATACACTTCAGAAAGATTGAATTGTGCAGTATAATTCTACAATAAGTAACTGAAAGATCAACAAGTACTAAAATGTTCCAGCATAATATGCATTATGAAGGGACACCATCAGCCTTAATCTTGTCAGATATGGCTAATCCATACCACTGAATTTCATCCATGAGTTTTTCCACATTCTTCTTTATTCTGTCATCTGTGCACTCTCCATCATCATTAAACTTCCCTTGTACCTATGGAAACATTTTGCTTTAAAAGGGGAAATATAATGTGATAAAGGATTAAAGATATAAAGAAACTAAAGAAATTTAATCAATGAATATCTAAAGTATAATGAACACCTATCAATGCTCAATAATAACTCGCATGTTTCTCCCTCCATGTGGGTTATTACTGAGCACATTTAATCAAATTGCAGCCTTTTTGTTTTTATCACAAGTGACATTTCCCACCAAGGCATACTGACCTGAAACAAAAGAAATGTAAGTTTTTCTTCTTTTTACATTTAGTAATTTATACAGAAGGGGTTAATAGCCCCTTGCTCCCAGTATTTCGGTCATCTCTTAGGAAGTTTGTTCAGGTATAGGTACACATAAAGTTACATAATTATTAAACATAGCAGCATATGTGTAGATTACTTAGGGTAACCCATGGCTTATGGAAGAAGGATTCTTCTCCAATTCCCTATGGAGAAAGATACAGATTATGGTTTAAAAAAGTGAACTTCTCTAGGCTAGTGAAATGTAACACAAGCTGTTATTAGATTCACAGGGAAGCTAAGCCTTTAGGGTGGCCTGTCGCCTGGTAGGCAAAGCTCTCGCTTCGCATGCTGAGGGTCCATGGTTTGATTCCCGGCAAGGGTGGATACACTGGGCATGTTTCCTTACACCTGTTATCCCTGCTCACCCTCACCGTCCCTGTTCACTCACTGGTGTGAGTCGCATCCTTTACCTGCGACTGGTGTGGGTCGCATCCTTGGACAAAACTGACGTAATCTGCCCGAAATGTTCTGCTTTCTAAATACAGCCTCTCCTCAATTAGCAACGTACTTGTGCAAGAATAGTATATAATACCGACAAGATGAAATTAAGACACATGTGCAACATCTGGGTATCTTTATTGTATACGTTTCGCCATCCAGTGGCTTTATCAATACAAATTCTAGGACATAACTTGAAGACAGTAGGACTATATACAGAAGATGAGGTAATCAGTCCCTCATTCTAGTAGTCTTGGAGATTCTGAAGCAGAAGGAAGGAGCCTGGCGCTTATACTATAGAAACGTCAGGTGTAGCAGACGGTGCTCTTCGCACCTACTCCTAGAATGAGGGACTGATTACCTCATCTTCTGTATATAGTCCTACTGTCTTCAAGTTATGTCCTAGAATTTGTATTGATAAAGCCACTGGATGGCGAAACATATACAATAAAGATACCCAGATGTTGCACATGTGTCTTAATTTCAGCAACGTACTTGTTTACTGACTGCTCTGACTAAAGACGAGCTCTTCAACCAGTATGCAAACTTAAGTAATGTATATTAGAGCTGATTTCCTCTATTCTGTTTATTACAGTACTATACAGTACACTACTGTATAAACATTTAAAAATATACTAGAAATGTTATAAGTGGTAGAATGGTGACATTAAAACAATATCTAAAGATGGTTCACACAAACCCACTACCAGTATAACATTCTTCCTTAATGACCAATTCACTTACTGACCTACTCTTAGGAATGGAACCCCATCGTTAAGTGAGGAGAGGCTGTAGTAGTATGTCACTGACGTCAGCTAGGCCTGTATACCTTGTACATGTACTTGCAGAAATAAAGACATTATTATTATTATTATCAGGGGTATTAAAAGATTGTGGAATGGAGGGTACTGAGGTCTGATCAAAGGAAAGGGATGAAACCTAATTCCTTGAATCAAGAGCCCTTTATCAGTATCAAGTATTCTCTTAACCCTTTGAGGGTTTCGGACGTACTAGTACGGCTTACGAGCAGGGTTTTTTGACGTACTAGTACGCATAAATTCTAGCGCCGTCAAATCTCGCGGGAAAAGGCTGGTAGGCCTAGATGTGAGAGAATGGGTCTGTGTGGTCGGTGTGCGCAGTAGAAAAAAAATCTGGGACCCAGTGGTGCATTGTGGGAATGCCATCTTAGTAAACAATGTCCACCATGCTTCGCGGTAAGAAGCTCCTCACTCCTCGGCGAATTGGGACACTTTTGTTCCCCAGTGACAGTTCTAATACAGAAGGAAGTGCCAGTGAAGATGAGTTTCAAGGTTTTGGTGAGGTTTTGACCGAAACTAATGATCGTAATATCGGTAATAGTGAGGAAAACCCAGACGACCCTCAGCCTTCCACCTCTGGTGCTGGGCCATCTTGTTCACGTTCAGTTGTACCAGAATCCAAGAGGAAACTTCTATTTTCCCAAATCCCAGACTCAGATGAGAGCATGTGTGATGATAGTGATAGTGAATATGAGCTACAAGCTCTTCAAACTAGTTCCAGTCATGATAGTGAAGTGCAATATTCCCCAGTGAAGCGTCAGTATATACGACGATATATGTGCTCTGGTAGTGTGCCATATACTATTCCAAGGGAAAGGAGTGCATCCCGTGGCTGTACAACAGGAACAGACAGTGAAAATGACGATGATACTGTTGCAATTGGGATGGAAAATGTGCGTGGTGGTAGTGGTGCTGACGGTGAGGCACCAGCAGTAGGCCATGCTGCCACCCACGCTGCTGCCTCAGCTGATCTACAACAAAGGCCACCATCCCCCACCTACCCACCACACCAGCCTCCACAACCACAACCTCCACAACCACAACCACCTGTCATTGTCCAGTACCCACCAGCAGACCGCACCTGGGACTGGCAGGAAGCTGTCAATTTTGTTCCAAATCCCCACCAGTTTGATGACAGCCAAAGTGGAATACGGCCATCTTGTACACTTGGGAACAATGCCACTGAACTGGAATGTTTCGAGTTATTCTTTGACAAACCCCTGATGGAAAGTATTGTCATGGAAAGCAACACATACTATGAGTACAACATGGCAAACACATTACTTTCACCAAAATCACGTCTACACCAGTGGAAGGAGGCAACTGTGGCTGAGATGTATCTTTTCTTTGCCACAATAATGCTTATGCCACATGTGTATAAGCACAAAGTGAAATCATACTGGTCAACAGACCGCCTGATTGCAACCCCAGGTTTCAGTGATATAATGCCAGTGAATCGATTTGTACTAATGTTACGTATGCTTCACTTCTCAGACAAAACCAGGCCTGACGGAACTGACAGGTTATATAAGATTAGGAATGTGTTTGTGTATCTGAAAGAGAAATTCAGTACGCATTTTTATCCCTTCAGGAAGCTTGTAATTGACGAGTCTTTGATTCTGTTCAAAGGAAGGCTCTTTCAAGCAGTACATACCAAGCAAGAGGAAACGCTTTGGTATAAAGTTGTTTGTGCTTTGTGATTGTTACAGTGGTCTGGTATTGGATATTATTGTGTGCACTGGAAGTTATACATTGCAAAATACCAGGAAGTTATTGGGCATCTCAGGTGATGTGGTTAGAACAATGATAGAACCATACCTTGGTAAGGGGCATATATTATACAGATAACTGGTACACAAGCCCCTCACTCAGTGATTTTTTGCGAGTGAACATGACAGATGCGTGTGGCACAGTGTGTGGAAATCGGAAACATATGGCCAGGTTTGATGCTGGCACTCGTAGAGGCGAGGTGCAGGCGTTTGTTGCCAATGACATCATGGCATTTCGGTGGCATGACAAACGAGATGTCACACTGTTGTCATCAGTTCACCCTAATGAAATGGCAGACAGTGGCAGGCAGCATAGAGAGAGCAATGAACCCATTCTAAAACCTGCAGCTGTGATTGATTACACCTTCAACATGCGTTCAGTGGACAAATGTGACATGCAGATTGGGTTCACTGATTGTGTTCGCAAGAGTTATAAGTGGTACATCAAACTGTTTTTCCATCTTCTGGACATTTCCATGCTCAATGCTTATAATATGTATAAGATGAGGACCAGAAACAAACCACAGTATGGCGAATTCTGTTTGTCTGTCATCAGACAAATAGTATTCAAGTACCAAGGAACAGCACCTGCAATTGACCGCCCACCAAATTATCAACAACTACCTGCTCGTCTGAAGCATGGTGATCACTTCCTGGTAAAACTGCCTGCTACTGCTTTCAAGAAAAAGGCTCAGAAGAGGTGTTACGTCTGTGTACATACAAAAAAACGCCCATAACAACGCAGAGACACTCGTTTTATGTGTGAGGAGTGTAAAACACCACTGTGCATGACACCATGTTTCAAAGACTTCCACAGGCTGCAGAACTTCTAGAAACATTCCCTGTGACTGTATATGTGTATATAAAATATAGAAAAATAGTAATAAACAACATTTCATATCGTTTGTTTGTGTAAATATTTTCTATAAACAAAATAATGACAACAGTATTTACACCCTTGTGTAGTATTGAAAAAGAAATAACTTACAAAATACTGATCATGTTGGCCTCAGAGGCCATAAAAGTTACTCAGAAAAAGAAAAATTGAAAAATAATTGAAAATAGTACATAAAAAAGTAAATAGAAAAATACCGGGTGACGGCAGTTGGCGATGTTACCAGATGTTCAATTTTGGCAAACTTCACACCTCCATATCTCGGTAAGTATTGACGGTAAAAATTTTTTGTTTAGCCTATAATGTTTAGAAAAAAAAAAACTATTTTTTTCATAAGAAAAAATAAATTTTTTTTTTTTAAATTTGGCCGACCCTGAGAACGAGTTTCTGAGAGGACCTGTCGACCCTCAAAGAGTTAAGAGTGTATCTGTGTATACATGATGAATTTATTTCTATCTCTAAAGTAGGGATGAAGGTACTCTCAGCATATACACACACCATACAATATATTGTATATATTGATATATTGTAGGTAGTAGGTTGGTAGACAGCAACCGTCCTGCCAAGTGAGTGTAAAACGGAAACCTGTAATTGTTTTACATGATGGTAGGATTGCTGGTGTCTTTTCTGTCTCAAGCATGCAAGATTTCAGGTACGTCTTGCTACTTCTACTTACACTTAGGTCACACTACACATACATGTACAAGCATATAGGTATATACACACCCTTCTGAATTTTCTTCTGTTTTCTTCCTAGTTCTTGTTCTTTTTTATTTCCTCTTATCTCCATGGGGAAGTGGAACAGAATTCTTCCTCCATAAGTCATGCGTGTTGTAAGAGACAACTAAAATGCCAGGAGCAAAGGGCTAGTAACCCCTTCTCCTCTATATATTACTTAATGTAAAAGGAGAAACTTTCGTTTTATCTTTTGGGCCACCCCGCCTCGGTGGGATACGGCCAGTGTGTTGAAAGAAAGAAAGAAATATATATAACCTCAACTAGGTAGTAAGTTGGTAGACCACAAGCACCCATGGAGGTACTACCGTCCTGCCAAGTGAGTGTAAAACGAAAGCTTGTAATTGTTTTACATGATGGTAAGATTGCTGGTGTCCTGTTTTCTATCTCAAACATGCAAGATTTCACGTACATCTTGCTACTTCTACTTACACTTACGTCACACTACACATACATGTACAAGCATATATATACACACCCCTCTGGGTTTTCTGCTATTTTCTTTCTAGTTCTTGTTCTTGTTTCTTTCCTCTTATCTCCATGGGGAAGTGGCACAGAATTCTTCCTCCGTAAGCCATGCGTGTTGTACGAGGCAACAAAAATGCCGGGAGCAAGGGGCTAGTAACCCCTTCTCCTGTATATATTACTAAATGTAAAAGGAGAAACTTTCGTTTTTCTTTTTGGGCCACCCAGTATCAATCGCATCTGCTAGAAAAATGACAGGATGGATAATGAGAACCTTCAAAACTAGGGATGCCAAGCCCATGATGACACTCTTCAGGTCACTTATTTTATCTAGGCTGGAATATTGCTGCACACTAACAGCACCTTTCAAGGCAGGTGAAATTGCTGATCTAGAAAATGTACAGAGAACCTTCACGGTGCGCATAACGGAGATAAAACACCTAAATTACTGGGAGCGCTTGAGGTTCCTGAACCTGTATTCCCTGGAACGCAGGCGGGAGAGATACATGATTATATACACCTGGAAAATCCTAGAGGGACTAGTACCGAACTTGCACACGAAAATCACTCGCTACAAAAGCAAAAGACTTGGCAGACGATGCAACATCCCCCCAATGAAAAGCAGGGGTGTCACTAGCACGTTAAGAGACCATACAATAAGTGTCAGGGACCCGAGACTATTCAACTGCCTCCCAGCATACATAAGGGGGATTACCAACAGACCCCTGGCAGTCTTCAAGCTGGCACTGGACAAGCACCTAAAGTCGGTTCCTGACCAGCCGGGCTGTGGCTCGTACGTTGGTTTGCGTGCAGCCAGCAGTAACAGCCTGGTTGATCAGGCTCTGATCCACCAGGAGGCCTGGTCACAGACCGGGCCGCGGGGGCGTTGACCCCGGAACTCTCTCCAGGTAAACCCAGTCTTGGTGGGATATGGCCAGTTTGTTGGAAAAAAAAAAAATGCAAGATTTCAGGTATGTCTTGCTACTTCTACTTACACTTAGGTCACACTACACATACATGTACAAGCATATATATACACACCCTTCTGAGTTTTCTTCTATTTTTCTTACTAGCTCTTGTTCTTGTTTATTTCCACTTATCTCCATGGGGAAGTGGAACAGAATTTTTCCTCCCTAACCCATACGTGTCATAAGAGGCGACTAAAATGCCAAGAGGAAGGGGCTAGTAACCCCTTCTCCTGTTTATATATTACTAAATGTAAAAGGAGAAACTTTCGTTTTTCCTTTTGGGCCACCCAGCCTCAGTGGGATACGGCCAGTGTGTTGAAAGAAAGATACCTTAACTAGGTAGTAAGCTGGTAGACCGCAACTGCCCAGGGAGGCACTACCATCCTGCCAAGTGAGTGTAAAATGGAAGCCTGTAACTGTTTTACATGATGGTAGGATTGCTGGTGTCTTTTTTCCATCTCATAAACATGCAAGATTTCAGGTATGTCCTGCTACTTCTATTTACACTTAGGTCACTCTACACATGCATGTACAGGCATATATTTACACACACCTCTCTGGGTTTTCTTCCATTTTCTTGCTAGTTCTTGTTATCTCCATGGGAAAATGGAACAGAATTCTTCCTCCATAAGCCACGAGTATCGTAAGAGGCGACTAAAATGCTGGGAGAAAGGGGTTAGTAACCTCTTCTCCTGTATACATTACTAATTTTAAAAAGAGGAACTCACCCCCATCATACACCCCATCAAGAGAAACATTTAGCAGTAAATCAGAAGATGAGGTCACCTCATACACCCCCATCATACACCCCATCAAGAGATGGGATGTATGATGGGGGGAGTATGATGGGGGTGTATGAGGGGGTGAGTTTCTCTTTTTAAAATTAGTAATGTATACAGGAGAAGAGGTTACTAGGTGGGATATGGCCTGTTTGTTGAAAAAAATATACAGTAGACATCATCTTTTCTGTATTTTTGTAAATCAGTTAAGAATTTTACAAGATAGTGGCACATGGCTATGCTACACAAAGTATTGAATTTGAGTTTTACAGGCAGCAACCCACTACTTCAGTCTTCAAGATGAAATTTTAAGAAGTAACAATGTAAGGTGCAGTGATTCAATTTAAGTACAAATTATAAAAACTTGTTTGGCCGCCTGTCACGATATATGGTACCATGATGTATCAAATTTTTTTTTTTAACAAATTGGCCCTTTACCACCGAGGCAGGGTGATTCAAAAAAGAAGAAACACTTTCATCATCACTCACTCCATCACTGTCTTGCCAAAGGCATTCTGATACAGTACTACAGTTCAAAAACTGCAACATATCTCCACCCATCATTCAGAGTGCAGGCACTGTACTTCCTACCTCCAGGACTCAAGTCTGTATGAGAGAAATAAAGAGCTTATAATACTACAGTACTCAATATTTACCTGAGGTATAACACAAGCATAAGGTGTGCTAATCATTCCAAGCTCACTAAGGAAAGGGCGAGCAAAGGCAGCAGCTCGGATTCCACCAAACGTACCTGAAAAGCAGAGATAGTTTAGTTACACTGGAATACGATACCATAGTAATCGTTATTTAATACTACATGCTAAAATATCACATTGTTCAACAATTACTTATTTTTTATATCTTATTTTTTAACACACCAGCCATATCCCAACGAGGCAGGGTGACCTAAAAACAAAAATGAAAGTCTTTCTTTTCAAATTTAGTAATTTATACAAGAGAAGGTGTTACTAGCATCTCGCTCCCAGCATTTTAGTCACCTCTTATGACACGCATGACTCACAGAGGAAAAATTCTTTATATCTTATTGTGTTTCCCTTTCTTATTACTTTAACTATTTTTATTTCATAGAGATAAGCTTTAAATATAGACATGACAGAAAAGCATTGGTTTGATGAGTTGTCGATGAGTGGAACAACTGCCAAGTAGGGGTCACTGATGCTAACACTTTAACTAGCTTTAAAAATAGAATGGACAAATGTGAGTTAGAAGGAGATGGGGCAGTAGGCTTGCTACAGTGCTCGTCCAATCTCATGTTCATATGTTCATGTACTGCAGCATGTATGGTAGTAGTTGGTGAAAGGTGCTGGGAGGCACTTCAGGCAGAATTCTTCAAGAATTACAGTGGAACCTTGGCTTACTAGTGCCCCAATGTGCGAGTTTTTCAAGATACGAGCAGTTGCTTGGTCGATTTTTTGCTTCCAGATGCAAGTGCAATTTCAAGATGCGAGCAGGCCTCAAGGGAGGTTCCTTGACTCTGGTGTGGGGCTCTTGCACTTCATCTAGGGAATTGGATCTCAGTTGTTTGTTGGACTATCTTATTGAAACTTGGGCATTGTATGATGGAAAGATGCTTCTTAATGTACACCAAAACTGAAAGAAATCGGACCATAAATAACGGAGTTCACTTCTCGGCCATTAGACACCTCTTAGTGGCATATTTTCATGTGGTTTTTATGGTTGTATTCTCGTTATTTTGGTCACATTTGATAGAATGGAAGATATATTACAGAAATAGATATGATTTTGATTGGTTTCACAACCAAAAGTACCTTGAAATTGAGCTCAAAGTAGCAGAAACATTTGATTCTTTGGCGATGTTCAAGAGTAAACAAATGACGTCACCATCCAATACCTGTCCAACTGGCCATTCCAATACGCAGTCATGAATGGGTTGATGTTATTTATACAATTATTACAATAATGTAGTAGTCTGCATAACAGTAAATCTTCTATCTTTTGAGTGAATAAAAATTCCAAATGGTAAGCAAGAGTATTACAGTGGACACCCGGCATACGATGGCATTGGCATACGTTAAATCCGGCATACGATACATTTTAACGCAAAAATTTTGCCTCGCCACACGGTAAAAAACCCGCCACACACGATTCGTCCGGGACGCGTCCCACGTGTGTCCTCAGCTGCCCCGTGCATGCCAGTGTTTACAAGCCAGCGAGTGAGGTCGCATCTAAGCATGCATTCAGTACATTCCATATTATCACAGTGTTTTTGGTGCTTATTTCTGCAAAATAAGTCACCATGGGCCCCAAGAAAGCTTCTTGTGCCAACCCTGCAGGAAAAAGGGTGCTAATTACTATGGAATGAAGAAAGAGATAATTGCAAAGTACGAAAGTGGAGTGCATGTGTAGGAGCTGGCCAGGTTGTATACCAAACCCCAATCAACCATCACTACTATAGTGGCCAACAAAACGGCAATCAAGGAAGCTGTTCTTGCAAAAGGTGCATGTCTGTTTTCGAAAGAGATTGCAAGTGTTAGAAGATGTTGAGAGACTTATTGGTGTGGATAAATGAAAAATGTTTGAGAGAATGTATGAGAGTATAGTTTTACCAATGCTCCTGTATGGGTGTGAAGCATGGGTGATGAATGTTGCAGCGAGGAGTAGGCTGGAGGCAGTGGAGATGTCATGTCTGAGGGCAATGTGTGGTGTGAATATAATGCAGAGAATTCGTAGTTTGGAAGTTAGGAGGAGGTGCGGGATTGCCAAAACTGTTGTCCAGAGGGCTGAGGAAGGGTTGTTGAGGTGGTTCGGACATGTAGAGAGAATGGAGCGAAACAGAATGACTTCAAAAGTGTATCAGTCTGTAGTGGAAGGAAGGTGGGGTAGGGGTCGGCCTAGGAAAGGTTGGAGGGAGAGGGCAAAGGAGGTTTTGTGTGTGAGGGGCTTGGATTTCCAGCGGGCATGCGTGAGCGTGTTTGATAGGAATGAATGGAGACAAATGGCTTTTAATACTTGACGTGCTGTTGGAGTGTGAGCAAAGTAACATTTATGAAGGGATTCAGGGAAACCGGCAGGCCGGACTTGAGTCCCGGAGATGGGAAGTACAGTGCCTGCACTCTGAAGGAGGGGTATTAATGTTGCAGTTTAAAAACTGTAGTGTAAAGCACCCTTCTGGCAAGACAGTGATGGAGTGAATGATGGTGAAAGTTTTTCTTTTTCAGGCCACCCTGCCTTGGTGGAAATCGGCCAGTGTGTTAATAATAATAAAAAAATAAATGAAAAATAGATAGCAGGAGATAGCATCTCTCAAGTGATCATATGTGAAAAGGCTAGGAAGTTGCATGAAGATTTAATTGAAAAAATGCCTGCAACTAGTGGTAATGTGAGTGAATTTAAGGCCAGCAAAGATTGGTTTGAAAGATTTAAGAATCGTAGTGGCATACATAGTGTGATAAGGCATGATGAGGCTGCCAGTTTGGACCCAAAAGCAGCTGAAAAATATGTGAAGGAATTCAAGGATTACATAGACAGTGAAGAATTGAAACCTGAACAAGTGTTTAATTGTGACAAAACAGGCCTGTTTTGGAAGAAAATGCCAAGCAGGACCTACATTACTCAGGAGGAAAAGGCACTCCCAGGACATAAGCCTATGAAAGACAGGCTTACTCTTCTGATGTGTGCTAATGCTAGTGGTGATTGCAAAGTGAAGTCTTTATTGGTGTATCAATCTGAAACTCTCAGAGCGTTCAGGCAAAACAATGTTGTCAAGGCTAATTTGTGTGTGCTGTGGAGGGCAAACAGTAAGGCATGGGTCACTAGGGACCTTTTCTATGACTGGTTACACCATGCATTTGCCCCCACTGTGAAAAATTACCTAATGGAAAAGAAATTGGACCTTAAGTGCCTCCTGGTATTAGACAATGCTCCTAGTCATCCTTCAGACTTGGCAGAGCGACTTTGTGGGGGCATGAGCTTCATTAAGGTCAAGTTTTTGCCTCCTAATACCACTCCTCTCCTGCAGCCCATGGACCAGCAGGTCATTTCAAACTTCAAAAACTCTACACAAAAGCTATGTTTCAAAAGTGCTTTGAGGTGACCTCAGACACTCGATTGACTCTAAAAGAGTTTTGGAAAGATCACTTTCATATCCTCAATTGTGTAAACCTTATATGTAAGGCTTGGGAGGGAGTGACTAAGAGGACCTTGAACTCTGCTTGGAAGAAACTGTGGCCACAATGTGTAGAAGGAAGGGATTTTGTAGTGTTTGGGGCTAACCCTCAGGAGCCTATGCTAGTTGTGGAATCTATTGTGGCATTGGGAAAGTCCTTGGGGCTGGAGGTTAGTGGGGAGGATGTGGAAGAGTTGGTGGAGGAGGACAATGAAGAACTAACCACTGAAGAGCTGCAAGATCATCTTTAACAGCAAGAGGCCAGACCTGAGGAAACTGCTCCAGAGGAGGGGAGAGAGAAATTGAGGAAGTTGCCTACTTCAAAGATTAAGGAAATGTGTGCAAAGCTACTGCAAGCCATGTTGGCTTGCAGTAGCTTTGCACACATGGGCCATAACACTGTACAATGACAATGTTATGGCCCATTTTAGTAAAGTTTTAAAGGAATGGGAGGTACAGGCCACTTTGGACAGATATGTTGTGCAACAGAGGTCCAGTGACTCTCAAGCTGGTCATAGTGGCATTAAAAGAAGAAGGGAAGTAACCCTGGAAAAGGAGTTGCTACCTCAAGGCCTAATGGAAGGGGATTCCCCTTCTAAACAATAACAACTTCCACACTCTCCCCTCCTCCCATCCCATCAATCATCACCAGATCTTCATTAAAGGTAAGTGTCATGTATTCTATTCTTAGTAGCTTAGTACATGTGGATGTCTTCTTCAGTTTGTGTGTATTAAAATTAATATTTCATGTGGTAAATTTTTTTTTTTTCATACTTTTGGGTGTCTTGCACGGATTAATTTGATTTCTGTTATTTCTTATGGGGAAAATTAATTCGCCTTACGATAATTTCGGCATACGATGAGCTCTCAGGAATGGATTAACATCGTATGCCGGGGGTCCACTGTATTATAAGAATAGGTACATATTAATATTAATAATAATAATAATAATAATAATCATAATAATAACAATAATAAATCATATGTAAAATATAATAATTATATAATATATGTAATGTGATAATATAAATTATTATAAGAATACAAATCTACTAATAAATAATAATCACCAGATGGCAGTGAATACCACAACAATGCAGGAGCAGTTATGGCCTCCTCCACCTGTCACAAGACATATTTTATTCATTTAAGAGTATATATCAGGTTTCTATGTTATTTATATTGTTTATTATGTTATATTAGATGAATTTTGATAGATAAATAAGCCATAGAGTTGATAGCAAAATACTGAAGGAGTATTTTGTCCTGTCTCCAAATAAACTCACGTCTGCCGTCGGCACCACTACGTAGTCACAAAGGTAATGACATAATTTATTCATTCTAGAGTATATTTATTTATTTATTTATTTATTTAGTAATTTAAGCATACATACAGAGGTACAAAAAATACAGGTAAGAGCAGCATGCCAAAGCCACTTATATGCATAGCATTACGGGCTGGCTTAAAATTAACTTAAGATTAACTAAGCAATGATGAAATCAGTGATAAAACATTATTGTAAACAGATAACTATAAAGCACAAATGAGTATTACAAAGACAGGTCATATGGTTGCTTGCATTGCTGTACATTCAGTCGAATGG